TGCGGAGTTGGGAGCCCCAGCTGCTTTTTCCTTAACCCTTTGGGGTTTTTCTCAGAATCTCACAAGAGGAACAGCTGCTGAAGGATCGGATTCCCAGGTCTCTTAGTAAAACATCATCTCTCCTTTCTCTGAACACGAGTGACAGAGGTGACACCTCTCACCCCCACCCCGTGGGAGTCTGGGCCGCTGAGCCCCCTACTGCCCCTTGTCACTCTCGGAACCACTCTCCCCATGTCCTCCTTCAGGTCAGTCATTTTTCTACGTCCATCTATGAAATACGGGCATAGCCCAGGGAACATTATTTTCTTAACTAATTTCTCCCCGGGGGACCTTGTTCATTATCCCGGCTTCAGTGGCCACACAAGGAAATGTTCCCTGCCCCGTCTAGACTATGTCTGGCTCGACTTCTCTGCTGGGCGCTGGACTTCCCAAAACACAAACTCTTCACAGGAAAATCCTGGTGAGCCTCCCTCCCCTGCGCCAGCCCCCCACCCCCCGGCTGCCCCCCATTTCTTCTTTTCCTGTATTATTTCTCGCTTGCTGGAAAAGCCATCTGCCACAGCACCGCAGCCATCCAGAATAGAGGACGTGCAGCCACCTTTAAATGTCTGTCCCTCTGAAAACCAGGTGGCCGTCAACTTTAGAGAAACTACCTCAGGTCTCGGGAACAAGTGCCCTCTTCTCTGATCTCTATGACCCTGTTCTGGCTTCAGTCTTCATGGGGACTGTCCACATGACCTCAAGGAATTCATGACTCCCTTGGCATTTCAGCTTATATTCCACACTGGTGCCACGGCTGTACTAACATGACACCGTGTGAGGACACTCCCTTTGGGGGCTGCTGATGTTTTAGTAGGGTCTCCAAGGGCTCCAGGCCCAGCCTTCACCCAGCTCCTGATGCTCTAGTCCACACGCCCTGGACGCATGGCCCTTCTCAAGGCTCCTCCACGTCCTCCTCACCTGGGAGTGAGCAAAGCCTCTCCCCCACTCTGCCTGAGTCACAAGCTTCATGCCGGCGGTCCAGCATTCCCAGCAGCCCCCAGCAACGCAGCAACGTCTTCTTTCTTTGGACTTTCATTTTTTTTTTTTTTT